CCAGTTTGCCAGGCATTCGAATTTTGAACACATGACCCTGCGGACGCTGCAGTGGTCGTAAGTGTGAAAAACGGTCGTAAGTCACTTTTTTCAGTGCTGTTGTAACTTCAGTCCCTAAGTGAACTGTTGTGAGTCAAGGACTACCTGTACTTATAACCTGGATTTGAAGTTAGGCAGCCCCTACGCCCCCCAGGGTCACATGATTGCATTTCAGAGCCTGGCCACTGGCTCATGTTTAGGCCCTTTTGCTACAACCTGCGGTCGCCAGATTAGGATTTACAATATTTTTTTGCCAGAAACCAGTGTTTACATCCCATTTGTGGCAAAAAAACCAACAACCACCCATTGGGGACAAGGCATGTGAGGAAGAGGATGGTGATGACAGAGTGCAGGGTGGCCAAAAGGGCAGAAATTGGGAGGAGTTGAAGCCCCTTGTGGCCCTATGTGCAGGCGACCTGTCGAACTACTGAAATTTGGTCCTATGACAGCAAAGACATGCACTGCAATGGCCGTAACTTCAGGGACCGGACGTAACTACTGTACCATTTGTTTGGTGCTGCTGTAACTTTGAACAGTTGATAAAGGAATGGTCATTCATCAAAGTCTGTCTGTATTCAGGTGTTCATCCTTACCCAGTTTATGCAGATTTATATGTTGGAGTCCGTATATCAAGGCAGAATTTAATCAAGCTTTACAGATTAAACCTTACTTGCTGGCCAACAGTCCCTATTGCCTTTTTGCCAAAGATGAAATGGAAATACATACAAATGAAATTCTACTTGACCCTTAGTTCATTTTCTGGTGATTAATAGATTCTCTCCCACCCCACTCACTCCACCCCTTTAAAGAGAAAAGCTGGCTGCCAAAGTTTTTCATTGATCAGGGCATCCATTTAGTACACTTAAGATTTCTCATGGGAAGTTGCGATTTACGAACTGTAGGATTTTGGCGAAGAAACTGTGAGCCCATTCCATTTGAAAGGAGCCACTCCTTGACTTTAGGAAATCAGTTGAAATGGTTTCAATTCATTCTTCTGCAACCAGATAAGCCCATTTTTATTCACCAGGCTGACTTTTCTGCTGTAGCAGTTCAGGTACTTGCATATATGGCTTACTGTACAATGAAGCGGATTAAATATGAAATATCAAGCAAATATCAAGCATATTTCAGTTGGTGCAATCTTGCCTATAGCCTGGTGAAAAGGCCACTTCTCCAGGCAGTTTTGAAAAGAAAGGTCTTCCCTCGGGAGGGTTGTATCGGTAAAGGGTATAAGCAGCACCGTCTTGGCTTCCGAGTCCATTTCTTCCAGGAAAATGCTTAACTGGTTTATTTTTCTCACTTTATCCAGTGAGTTTGGCAGAAATGTCTCTCCTGAATAAGCTGATCCGGAAGTCTCTTGTGGAATCGAGTTATCACGTGGAAATTCTACAGCGGGATCCCAAATCACCACTGTTTTCTGTAACCACCTTTGAAAAGCTGCATTTGTGAGTAATAGAATTTCCAAGTCATTATATTTATCACATAGAAAGTCCACACACAGTTTCCAGTCTCTTATAAAGCTGTCCATACTATATAATAGGTAGTTAACCAAGGGATTTTAAGTGTGTTGTTCAGATTAACTTGTTGACTGCTTTTTCTGCTTTCTTCATATACATATATATACAAACATACATAAACACACACATGTGTATGTATGTGTGTGCATATATATGTGTGTGTGTGTAGAAGCAAAAAAAGTAAAACAAAATGAAACAAAACAAAGCATTCAACTAACAACAAAAAGAAAAGAAAAAGCAGTAAATTCATATATATGAATATATATACACATATATATGTGTTATGTCCCACCTGTATCCACAGGTGAGAATCTCAAGTTCCAGAGTTCAAATACTTTACGCAAACAAAACCAGAGACAGAATAGTTAATTGCTCTGTTTGCACAGTCCTTTGGCAATCCTTCTAGAATCTGTCTGGCAATTCTGTATAGTCCATAAATCACAACGCTGTAGTCAGACACACTTCTTTCCAAAGCAAAATCCACTTTGCTTTAGCACGCTCCTTATATATTCCCTGAAGGGGCGTGTCAGTCTCATTAATTAATCCTTTGCTGGATGTCTCTTTTCTAATTGAGATTGACGTCTCAATCTTCTCCTAGTCCTAGCATCCAGCCAGCATCCTGCAGTTTCATCACCGCTTGAAGCCTCTGACACACTTTCCTGATTAACAGTTAACACCTGAGGTGCAATCAGGGAGGGAGTTGCAGAAGAGGAAGACGCCTCTGAAACTTCTAATAAATCAGGCTCATCTCTCAGATTCAACTCCTCCTCCTCCTCCAGACTCCTCTCAACGTCGCTCAGCAATGCAGGCTCGAATCTCAATGCCAGATCTTCCTCCTCACTCGAGCCTACATCTGCTGACTGACCTGGTTCAAACCTTGGAGGCACAACATATATGTGTATACACACACACACACACACACACATGCATACTGTATGTATATGCGGTATATATGAATTTATTGCTTTTTCTTTTATATATGTACAGTATATATGTACACACACATAGATAGATGATAGATAGATAGATAGATAGATAGATAGATAGATAGATAGATGATAGATAGATAGATGATAGATAGATAGATGATAGATAGATAGATAGGAAAGAAAGAAAGAAAGAAAGAAAGAAAGAAAGAAAGAAAGAAAGAAGAAAGAAAGAAAGAAAGAAAGAAAGAAAGAAAGAAAGAAAGAAAGAAAGAAAGAAAGAAAGAAAGAAGAAAGAAAATAGTGTACAGAGAGGAAAAAGTGATCAATTTAACAATCAACATGTAGGATCCACCCTGGCTGGTTGCTGAAAATATATATAAAAGATTTTGCTGCTCTTTTTTTTCTTTCTGCAACCAGCCAGGGTGGAACTTACGTGTTGAATGTTAAATTTAATTGATCACTTTTTCCTCTCTTTTTTTTGTACACTATTATGTATGTTCATTTTTGATTCATTTTGTTTATTTACTGTTTTGTATTTTATTTTTAACGATAAAACAATATGTAGTATTAAAAAAAGAATGTGCAAGTCATTCACCTTGATGCATTTATTCTTTATTAACAACAACAATGTTATTAATTGTTGCCCAGTACATTTGAACCCTTTGCTGTTTTGACAGAAAGCCGGAACTATTGCAAGGTGTTTATGGCATGGGTTTTAACAGGCCATCCAAGATACAGGAATCCGCATTGCCAATTATGCTTGCTGATCCGTAAGTTGGTTTAAAAGAAATGTTTAAAAAGAAATTAGAAGGACCTTGCTTGTATTGTAGCTCAGGAAAACCCTGTATCAGTGATGAACAACCTTTTCGGCACCGAGTGCCCAAATGTATGTGCATGTGCACGTGCCAGATCGCTGGAAAACCGAAGACCAGCTGGCCAATGTGCAAATGCCTGTTTTTTTTTTGTTTGTTTTTTTGCTGTTTTGGGGCTGTTTCCAGGCTGGTTTTTGTGCCAAAAACATCCTGAAAAATGGCCTGAAACAGCCTGTTTTGAGCCATTTTCAGGTCGTTTTCTGGACTGTTTTCAGGCTATTTTTCAGGCCAAAATTGGCCTGAAAACAACCCGAAAACAGCTTGAAAAAGCCCCCAAAACGGCCTGTTTTTTGGCCGTTTTTGGGGCCTTATTCTGGCGCTCCGGTGCCTGTGAAGACCAGCTGGCCAGTGGGCATGTGCATGCCAGAAACCAGAAGAGCAGCTGGCAATGGTGCATGTGCCCACTGAGAGGGCTCTGCATGCCACCTTTGGCAGGTGTGCCATAAGTTCTCCATCACAACCCTATATCTTCTATTAGTTGACTTGGATGTATGGGAATCTCAGTTTATCTGCCTTAAAGCTGAACTATTGCATTTCTTACTTGGGGTGTCAAAGATGGTAATTGTATAAAAAGAATGCTGAACTGATTGACGGGACTTTGGGGTTCTTATGAGCTAAGACAGGGCTGTCAGACTCTTGGCCCGGGGGGCGGATGTGTCACGTGCTGCCCACGCCTCATTTAGAGAAGGGGGGGAAAGTCGTGATACATCACATGACACTACCGTGACGATGCAAGTTTGAAAACCCCGAGTTAAGATAAACGCAAAACAGCCTTTTTGTTTGGATGGGGCTGAAGTGATGATGAAGTATTTTCCCCAAAACAATATAGAGACAGGATACCAGATTTATGTTTGCTTTCCATATGACAATCCTGTTGCAGAAATCTTTTCAGCTTGCTCAGTTTTATTATCCTTCAAAATTATATACATTTATTGTTGTTGTTGTTGTTGTTGTTATCTTTTCTTAGTCTTTGAGGCTTGGTTTTATGTAATGTTCTTCTCCTGGTTCTCCTTATTTAAATGCCATTTCCACTTTATTTTTTGTCCATTTTATATTAAAAAAGTAATCCTGGAATCATTTTATTCTTTCCCTTTCTCTTGTTGGTCAGTTGCTCTCTATTTGCACAAATGTTAATAAAGTAATTTTGTATTTCAGACCTCAAAATCTTATAGCACAAAGTCAGTCAGGGACAGGCAAAACAGCTGCATTTGTTCTGGCTATGTTGAGCAGAACAGACCCAGAGAAGGAATTTCCACAGGTAAAAGTCACTAATTTGCTCAAACCTTGCTGCTTTCTTTAAGGACAGTTCACCAATGCTATTTTGGGAGCGCAGTTTTTAGTCTTAACTCAAGTAAGACTGTTTCCTTGCCTATCCTTTGACTGAAAAATATGATAGCAAAAGCTTTATAATCTGAAGTTTTGTAAAAAAAATATATTTTCTACTCAAGTTTTGATGCCCTTGCTTTTTTGGCACATGTTTACCAGTAATTTAAGCAATATAGCTATGTGGGCAGCGATGAAACAATTCACCCAAACACACTATTTTATTGGACCAATTCAGCACATGCACACATACAGACACCTGATCTCAAACACTTTCCAAAATTGCCTGCTTAAAAATACAATAAGGAGTGAGTGAGAAACTGAGGTAATATCTGCCTTTTTAAAAATATGCTCTAGAGTTGTTCATATAGAAACAGCAAAAATATTTTACAAGTTCAAGTACATATTTAGTCAGAAAAGTACAGGTAGTCCTTGACTTAACGATCACAGTTGAGCCCAAAATTTTTGTTGCTAAGTGAAACATTTGTTAATATTGCCCCATTTTACAAGCTGAAGGGCCACCATTGTTCAGAGAATCGCCACAGTTAAGTGAATAACATGGTTGTGAAGTGAATCTGGCTTTCCCGCTTGTCAGAAGGTTACAAAAGGCGATCACACGACCCAGGGACACTGCAACCGTCATACATGTGAGTCAATTACCAAGCATCCGAATTTAAATCATGTGACTATGGAGAATACGGCAATGGTTGTAAGTGTGAAAAATGGTCCTAAGTCACTTTTTTCAGTGCCGTTGTAACCGGTCATTAAGTGAAATATTGTAAGTCGAGGACTACCTGAGCTTATAACCTGGATTTGAAGTTAGGCAGCCCCTACCCTCCCAGGGTCGCATGATTGCAAGCTTGGCAACTGGCCCACATTTAGGCCCTTTTGCTGCAACCTGCGGTCGCCAGATCAAGATTTACAACATGTCGTAACTTTGAACAATCACCAAATGAACTGTCATAAGTTGAGAACTTTATTTTTTTGTATTTATTTATCGCTTACAAGATAATAGATATAAGCAGGGGTGGGATCCGACCAGTGTAACTATCGGTTCGGTGATTTTGCGATTTGCAAACCGGTTCTATGTCTGCTGCTCTTCAGTTCTACAGAGCCGGACAGAACCGGTAGAATCCCACCGCTGGGTATAAGTATAAACTTGAGTAAGAATACAGGAAATACGTATGAATAAAAGGGGGCATTAGGACAGGACAGTGGGCACGATGGTGCACTTATGCACGCCCCTTATAGACCTCTTAGGAATGGGGTGAGGTCAATAGTGGACTTCATGCAAAGGGGTGGGGGTTCAGATGTGTGTGTCAACTCATAAAACATTCCTAAGCCTGTTTTAGTAGTTGCCATTAAAATGGGGGGGGGGGGGGGGGAAGGAAATCCGGAAGAGCAGTGCAGCAGTTTGAAAGCGGAAGTACATTCCAACTCTTATCTTTAAAAGGTTGTAACGAAAATACCAGAGCTTTTGCCCCCAAATATATTTAATTGGAGAACGTGAATGATGACACCCAGCCCATGAACGTGCTCAATTGGAGAATCTGATTTATGACACACCCAGGGGGGAGGGGGGAAACAGGGTCACAGGGGACTGTAAATTCCATATGCCAGAGTTGGCTCCATACAGGGCAGTGCCAGTACGTCACCTCTAATAAACCCTTTGAAAGATTTTGAAGTTTGGCTCGAGAATCATGATTTAATTAGGGCGATTGCTGGAATCCTGACAGCGTGATCATAACACTCCTTCCAGTATGAGTCTGTCTGTCTTAAAATACAGAAGAGTTGCACCAAAATAACCCGCCTTTATGAATGTGCTGCAGTTCAGCTCCTTTTGAAAGGAACATGGGAACAATTGCTAGGAGATAGCGATTTCATAAGAGGTAGATACTTTGTAAGTCATAATTGCTCCACAGTCAAGTCAAAATTGAAAAGCACCCCAGGAAGTTGAATCAGTGGATGTGAAAACACTCGGTGTTATTGGCATCCCTTGTTGAAAACTACATTTAAAATGTGGCTATAGATAAGTCATCCATTTCTCTTGTCTTGCCTTGAAGTGCCTCTGTCTCTCTCCCACCTTTGAACTGGCTATTCAAACTGGACGTGTTGTTGAGAAAATGGGAAGATTCTGTGTCAACATAAATGTTAATTATGCTGTTCGAGGCAACAGAGGTAAGGATTTCTTACATTCTGTATATGCTAGATATTTAACCTGCCTTTCCTCCATCACCTTCTGGAGGTACATCTTCTGCCTCTTCTAGTTTTTGGCCCTAGTCCATAGTTTCTTAACCTGAACAACTTTAAGATGTGTGGACTTTAACACCCAGAATTCTGGGAGTTGTGGAATTCTGGGAGTTGTGGAATTCTGGGAGT